ACTCTTATCCTCAACATAACCTTCTAAACTATGATCCTGCTTACTTTAAACTATAGCGTCTTCTACTTATTCTTGTAATATTTTTTATGATAAAGATCCTATTCTCTCAATTAAATATATTCTTTGGCCCTTCCGAGAAAAAAGCTAAACTATATTTTTTTAGTTTTCTTATTGATTCCTACAGTAACTGGTTTCATTTTACTATTAGTTGTGGTTTTGTATAAACTTGTGAAATGAAGCGTTTACACGCTTATAAAATTGTGTGATGTGCACTTCAGACTATGTATCCAGATTTAGATATAAAGTTCAAAAATGTTTTTTATTCAATTTTAAAATTTTGTTATTACTTCATTTCTTAAATATAAATGAAATTATCAAATGTATAAATACCTTAGCTTACAGCATATAATTAGGGAGTAATTATTCTTCGTTAGTAGAATTACTTTGTGAAGAACTAACTAATAATATTAACTATCTTCAAAATTTTTCAATGTGCAACATCTGTTGCTTAACTTTCATCTCAAACCTGTATTTCATCTATCAATCAAATTTGTTTGATGATTATAGGAACGACTCAACTGGCCTTACTTGTGAAACTTTTAAGCTCAAGTAGTAGGTTCCTAATCATAAAATCAGTCTTAATGGCAGGAGCGACATTCTGCATCTTTTCTTAAAAAAATTTTCACATTTAAAGTAGCCAAAGCAACTAAGAGGAGAGGTCAACTATTTAAAGAATACTTTGCCAAAAGTTAAATTAGGTCAATCGCAACGCCAAACGGTGAGTCAATTCCATATGCCCTCCATAATATTTTATTTTTCTTAGCCATCCTCTTCTCTGTCCAATGTATTTCCAACTGTGTTACAATAATCCTTACATTGGATACATATAATAAATTATCACAGTCGATGCGCACATCTTTCATGTCTGTTCTGCTCAAAGTAATATTTGCTTTTGAATATGTATCAATTAATGATTCAGGTCTTTCTACATATTGAATATTATTATTGTTGGTTTTTACTCCTTGTTTCTATTTATATGTATTATTCATTTTTGCTTCATTTCCTCGCAGTGCCCCTTTGCCAAAAAATCAAATTTTATTTTTCGTATAAAAAGAGCTTCGAAAATACCAGTAAATCAGTAATATGAGATGTATTCACCCTATTTCGTTTAAGGGGATGAAGGACTGGTAATAGAATTTTCCCACAATGATATGAGTATAGCGTTTCCAGTTAATTTCACAGAACCATTCTTTCCCAAAAGTTGTTCTCATCCAGGGTGGGCTACAGGTTCGACCTCGCCTAGGTCTTACCAACGACACAAGTGGAAGTCGAACCGTGACAATACAGCATGTGAGCTTGACACGTTAGCCACTCAGCTGCATTGCCACGATAGCCTTATGTCTTAGGGCAGATGTGAATTTCAAGAAAGGCCAGACCTTTTTCCCATTTCATATTCATAGGTGGGATTGTCGATAAAGCAAAGGTATTTTTCGTATAATTAAAGTTTCGGGACTACCAGTAAATGGGTTAGATGAGATGTATTCATCATGAATTGTTTAAGGTGATGAAGGACTGGTATTTGAACTCCCCCACAATTATACAAGTATAACTGACATTTCCATTGCATTTTCCAGAGGTGAAATTAAATTTAATGGAAGAGTCAGCCATACTCATATCATTGTGGGAAAATTCTACTACCTGTCCTTCCTCACCTTAAAAGAAAAATGGTGAATAGATCTCATATAAATCAAATTTTCTGTTTGTAATCATCTTTATTTTCAGATTTACTTTAATATTTTTAAATTTCTTCTTATTTTAGTTTATGGTTGGATTACTATAAGCGTATTTCTAATTTCCTAATGTCCTGATTATAATACCTGTTATTTTCTTCTTCTATTAAAGAGTTATCCTTAAACTATATTGCGTATGTCATTATTTTACTAATGGCCCTTTTAGGTTCTAATGATAAGAAAATATCTGGAAGAAAATCAAGGTTAAGCTTTCCATCCTTAACTGTACTTGTAGCCTAACTAATTTTGTTTTGTATTGAGCACATTTTATTTCTGAATACGAAACATTATTTTAAATTTATGATGCATTGGTTTATGAGTGTTCAATTGTGCTCGAGGGGTTCATCAACTTGTCTTTTTTATGGAAAAAACGAGTTCGCTAGACGAAAAATCTATGGCTATCAATTTTATAGGAAAATTAAAGCTAATCCTTTGCATATTCGAGGCCTCTTCTTGTTTTATAGTAGAAACACATATCTTTGACTATTGGAATTAGAATCGTATTATATCAATTAAATGGAAGGAGGAATCTTAAGTTGGTTATACCAGTAGAGTAAGCAGAACTGCCAAGGCTATTAACGTTGTGCGTATTACGATGCAATTTACAGGTATTTCATGCAGATAAGCTTAATACATTTTCAAGATGATATAGACCTAAAGGATAAAAAAGTGACAGCAACTTCTCAAATACCGCAAATATCTCTGATTTCATATAGTACTCAACTATCTCAGCCCATATAGAGAAGGAGTCTAGGCATCACTTAGGATGCCTAATAATGTTTTTGCTTTCCTGTCTGACTAAGGAGAGATGTAATTGGTTGCCATCTTAGAATAATAATATTCCTATTTTGATGCTACTTTTATACTTTGTGGAAATTTCAGAATAATTAGAGTACAATATAATTTGCGATATATTTGTATCATTTTGAGTTTTGAGCTTGAATAGAATTAAAAAGAGCAAAATTGACTCAAAGCAGAGGGATGAAAAACGGTAAACGCTCTCAATCAGTCGTATTACAATCAGTCAGGTTTACATTGCTAAATAGGAAAAGTATGCTATACCTATATAATATATTTCACATATTAAATCAAAACTTTATAAACCTACTTTTGTTTGGAGATGAAATTTTATATTCTCCTATCCTATTCGGTAAAAATTCTTGCTACTGATCCGTCTGAGTTGGATATGTGTTGATGTGATACATAAACTTGCTTACGCTTAGAAATTTCTGATTACAGCTTATTCTAAATGAACTCTCATAGTGATATGGGCATAATCCAAACTAGATAAATTTATTAGGAGGATTTTCATTTCGTATGAAAGTAAATAAAGAAGAGATTCGTTGGTCGATCTTTTCAGATGCGGAAGGATAAATCTCGTAATATTGCAGCCGCTTGGCTTTTATATGATATACATGTTGACGCAGTCCACGAGACTTCCTCCCTCGTTTCGGGTGAAAAATTGCTGAGCATTCGCCCATCGTATGATAAAAATCATCAGAGCTGGGTGTCATTCTTGTAAAAGTTTCACTTTAACACTAGGCCAAGAACACTATTCCGGCTCTATCTTACTTCTAACATGGACTCAATGGAGCCAAATGAAAATATAAAACTGAGATAGATCGATATAGAGTGGTCTGGCCAATTATCCTTCATACTGGTCCTGTTACTTTTGCCCGAGTGTATGCATATGTGTATGTGTGCGTGTTAGCGTCTATATGCAATACCGGTCCTAAATCAGAGTTGTCAAAGGTTTACTCTCAGGTTCTGATCCTCAAGACCTAATGACACAAGAGAAAGCCTTGACCGAGACTGCGTATGTCCGTAAGCAACTATGGTTGAGCTAATGAGATATGAGTTTGTAAGCATGAAAATAAAGTCACGAAACCACGCACACATACACATAAGCATTCACTAGAGCAAAAGTAACAGTACCCGTAGGAGAGACAATTGACCAAACCACTCTATATCTATCTATCTAGGTTTTTTATTTTCATTTGGCTCAATTGAGTCTATATAAGAAGTAAGATAAAGCCGGGTAGTGTTCTTTGCCTAGTATTAAAGTGATACTCTTACAGTAATGAAACCCAGCTCCGATGATGTCCATCATATGATGAACGATAAAGGAAGTCTTTTGGACTGCGTCAAAATGAATATCGTTTAAAAGACAAACGGCTGCAGTATAACGAGATTTATCCGTCCTGATCTAGTGAGGTCGGCCAACGAATCTCTTCTTCATTAACTTTCATACGAAATAAAAGTCCCTCAAACAATGTTATCTCAAGAGATTAATCTAAACCCAATCTCTCATAGATAAAGCTATGCCATAAACTATATTTTATTTGGATAAAATCTGGTTCATAAACTATTTTACTGCATACGTTTTTTCGAAGCATTAATAATAAATCAATTTGTTTATTATTTATCTTTTCCCTTAAATTTTGCATATACTACTTTAAAGATCAGGGGCATTGATGATAGGCGATCGAATTGAGGCGATTGATGATGTACGCGTCAGTCATATGAGCCTGCAGGAGGCAATGCACCGCATTCGCCACAATCGTCTTGACTTTGTCAGACTTCGTCTTGTTCCTCTAGCCATTAATATTCTCCCCAACCAAGATCTTGGATCATACGACACCAGGACTGCGAAACATATGACGGGTTCTAAAAATAGTGGCATAATGGATGCATCTGAAGAACGAAATGCTTTTATTTCATGCCTAACTGTGTCCGAACAACCTGCAAGCGTGGATATAATTCAGAATAAAACAATAAATATTGAAGAAGCTCAAAAAATGAAACGGAATAAGGAATCAAGCGTCGAGGATAATTTTGATATGATTGCAATGAAAGGGGATGATGAAAAGGAAAATATAGAATACGAAGAACATGCAAAAGGCATAGAAAATCGAGAAGAAGAGATCGGATACGCTAATAGATTTGATCAAGTGGAGCATGTTTTAAAGAAACAATGGCAAGAAATAAGAGCTCAAGAAGATATAGATATAGGTTAGTACTACGATGATTATATTCGGAATATTTTCCGAAGTTTACTTCGTTGTATAGGTATTGTTTCACCTTGTTTTTGCAACTCGGTCATATTGGCAGTAAGACTTAGATGAACGTATTTTGTCGGACCGTGAACTTGGAACATTCTCAGATGTTTTGCCGGAATCGTAGTCGGCATCTTCAGTCAGCCTTGTCATTCTTTACACCATACTACAACTCGTCAAAGAGACAAGTGAAGTCGATACTTTGACCAATTGTGGTATTTTTTCTTCTGTTCTGGTCTATTCACCAATCCTATATCTTCGTATAAATATAACAATTGCCTATTTGTTTATCTTAACCTATTTTAAACCTATTCACCCTCCTCGCTGGTTTCCACATCCCTCCTACTATGCCGGTAGTGTTGATCCAAGGCTGCAGTTTAATCCGAAATCCTCTCATTTTGGTTGCTATCAGAGTACCCCTCTCTTTTCGTAGGATCCTTCCCATATCTGCCTGTTTCAGTGATTTCACTCCATCCCTCCAACCGCATCCGTTTTACTCAAGGTGCTATGTTCTACACTCTGCCTCCAGTCTTTGATAGCATGTATACACTAGCCTCACTGAACAAACCCATAAATTCGGGATTCTCTATTGACATGATAACCTAACTTGACGCTGTAGATTTCCTTATTACTCTGCATCCTGTACACCGAGTAAATCTCTTGCTCTAGCTTTTACTTCATGAATCACGTCTATGAGCAAACCCATCTACTACTACCTAACTATCAATAGTCACAACCGTTTTTCTTGTTTATCTATCCCTAATGCCATATGCAAAGTCTTTAAATTTATCTTGAGTGCCTACCCTTAAATGTGATTTGAAGTAGAACTATCACCCTTAAAGGTCAGCACTAAAGAGAAATTCATAGAGTTGGCACATTGCATTAGAAATAGAGGAGCAAGAGAAGCAGTAGTGACAATTGATAGTTATGTATTAGTATATAGCTTTTCTCGTAGACGTGGTTCATGAAGTATAAGCTTAAACAAGAGATTTACTCGGTGTACAGGATGCAGAGTAATAAGGAAATCTACAGCTTCATGTTAGGCTGTCATGCCAAAGAGAATCCAGAATTTAGTGGTTTGTTCAGTCAGGCTAGTTTATAGATGCTATCAGAGGCTAGAGGCAGAGTGTAGAACATAGCGCCTTAAGTAGAACATTTACGGTGGGAGTGATGGAGTAAAACC